CACTGCGTAGCATGGCGCCTTGCAGGCGTGCTCGCCGTAAGTGCTGCGCTGCGCGGGTCCGCGGGGGGGCTCGCGGAGACGCGGCGCGCCGCCGCCGTGGGGTAGCGAGGCGGTGGGAGCAGGAGTGTAAGCATCTAGTGCGGACCAGCTGTCGCCGCTGCTGGGCGCGTCGGTCGAATCGCCCGGTGAGCGCGGCTGCTCGGGGAAGGCTAACGCCGCGGCGTGGGCTTGGGAAGGAGCAGCCGGCCGCCGGTGGCGCCTGCTTCTGGCGGGGGCAGAATTGGTTAGAAAGGCTCGAGGTAGGCGACGCACTAACGGGCCGCCGTTCGGCCGGCCCCATCTCGAGGCGCGCGCCCCAGCGGCTGCGGGCGACCAAGGGGGGGGGGCCATCCTGATTCGCCGCGGTGGTCGGGGGTTCGCGCTGGCAGGCGCGCGCGAGGGGTGGCTGCGGCCCCCGCGGTGGCCCTTCTCCGCTGGGGCCGGCAGCTCTGCTTGTCGGATTGGGGCCGCTGTTTATGATCTCGGCGGCGTCGATGGCCTGCTTGGCCGCGTAGTCCAGGACGTCGTCCCCGAGGTTGGCCGCGTCTTCGCTGTCGTCCTGGTTCGCATCGACGACGGCTATCAGCGGTGAGTGCCTCGTGTCGTCGATGAAGCTACTCGTTGTCTGGATGCTGCCATCGCAGATGATGCGACGGGTTGATGCCTGCGTCCGCTGCAAGGCATCGGTGGCGGCTACCAGCCATGGGCGCGTCTCCTCCATCAAGCGTCGGGGAGGGAGGTGGAATAGTTTCCCGCCGACGGCGTCGGCGGCGCGGGGCGCGCCCCGCTCCCGCGACGGTGAGGCCGAGGGGTTCCGGGTCTGAGTGCGCGGGCCCTGTGGGGATGTCATCCTGTGTCACTGTGGTCGGTTGTCCGAGCGCGCGGCGGTTGTCCGTCGCATCTCCGCGATCTGGCGGCCTCCTGCTGCCGCCCCTGCCGCAGGTTGCAGGCTGCCCAGCGGCGTTGTCAGGGGGCGCGGCCCCCTGGGACTCGATCGGCTCGTCGGTCTCGTCCACGGCCCCGTTGGCGACGCTCCTTTGGAAGAGCGATATCGCGAGCGGAGCCGGCTCTGAAGTGGGGCTGCGGCGTGTCCCCAGCTGGGCGCGCGCGAGGAAGTCGCGCCGCCGTTGAGCGGCCCCTGCCAGCGTCGGAAGGTCGGCGCGGTCGCTGGCGATCGGGCGGGCGACCATCGCGGCAAGCTAGTGGAAGATGAAATGAGCGAAGACGATCTGCTTGCGGGCCATCGCGAACAGTCGCGGAACTGGTGGCGAAGCGAGGCGCATGCAAGGCACCTGCGCGAATGGCGCGCCGCTGCCGCCCCGTGTTTTGGCCCGTCGGGCCTGGGGAGAACCTGGACGGGGCCTCCTGGCGAGGCGGCGCGTTCGGCCTTGGCCTGGCCCCCCCGGGCCCCGGCCCCCGTCGCCCGATGGCGCGCGGGCCCCCGCCATGATGGCTGCCGGTGGTCGGGCGGCGTCACTCTGTGGGGGCGGTGCCCTGGCTGGTGCGATCATTCCTAGCGCGAACAGTCCCTCGGGGCAGCCGTGGCCACGGTGTCGAACTGCGTCGGCGGCGGAGATGGCGCTTCTGCCTCCGCCCCATGGTCGACGCCCCGAGAGCGGCGTCGCGCCCCGCGGCGGTCGTCGGCCAGCGGGTTGTCTAGGTTCGTGGAACTACTAAACGAAGTCTCGGTCGGCTGGCCGTCGGCGGCGTTGCCTTGATCGCCGCGATGGCCCTCGATGCCCCCGTCGGGGTTCATGATGGCGTCGGCTTGGTTGCGGACCGCGTAGTTGATGAGGCGAGCGGACGGCTCGTTAGCCTCAACGCACGCAGGCAAATGGTCGTTGACCAGGAGCTGCGTCCCAGTCTCATTGGCGCCCAGGCCGTTCTCGTACTCGCGGGCGGCGTTTTACCAGGGGATGCTGTCATTGACAGCGGATGTGTCCACGTGAAAAGTTCGTGCCTGCGGGAAGGGTGACCTTGCCCCAGGCGGGGGTGGTGGCTGCCGCTGGCGTCTGTCCGACATTGGCGGGCGTCTCATCGCGTTGATGTTGCCGTCGTAGAAGCGCTCGTCGCAATCGACAAAGACTGTCGTCTCCCATCCAGGTCGCAGCAGGACCTTGCCAGTGTCGTCCAATTCCGACTCGCGGGTCTCGAAGTTGCAATGCTATACCTGTGCGTGCCAGGCGCTTGGGTTCGAGGTTCGGAAAACGACGCGCGGCCGCGGCCTTGGCAATTTGCGCCGACGGTCAAGGGGCAAGTCGGGAAGATGGTCTGCTTACCTCAGTGTCTATGTCGGCGCTTGCTCGGTCCACGTTTGGAAGTTCGGCGGGTAGACTGGTGGCGGCGGGCAGCTCGGTAGCGGCGGGTCGCTCTGGGGCTGGGGATGGTGGGTGGGGCTAACGGTCAATACTCGACTCGTGGCTGCTTGGATGGTGGTAGTGTGCAATGGGAGCCGTGATCGTCAGATCCGCGATAACTGCGCATGGTGCGCGTGGGGGATGATGTCGCTCGTGGGCGTCCGCTAGGCGAACCTGATAACTCCACCATCGCCTCGTAGTCGTCGTTGAGACTGTTGTAGAAATTGCCCCTCGTCTTGGTGAGCAGTTTGTTGCCCGCCTCGCAGATGTCGATCCTGATGTGGGACATGAAGTTGAGGATGAATCCCACCGCGGGATTTGAAAGGACAACAACGAATATTTTGATCGGTTCCTGCCAGTTGGCCCGCTCTGGAGGGGGCGACCGCGCGACGGTGATGGCCTCGTCGTATGATGGCAGCATATTGAGCGTGGTTTGTTGGTCCACGGTGTCTTCTTCGTATGTGACGCCCGCTGGTGAGTGTCAAGTCTCGCCAACCATCTGCGGCCACGGAAGGTTACCGCTAGTGAGTAGCGCTAGTTGGAATTCGCATCGTACGTCGCTCTCGTTGTAGTGGTTCATGGGGACCCTGTTCCCCGCCTGGTAGTTCTGCAGGCACAGGCCCCCTCGCCCCTGACGTCGACCAGAGGCACCAGGACACCGCTGGGGTCTCCAAGCGTGGAGGCGTGCTCGAATGTGAGGTGTGGCGTGGGAATTTTTCTGCTCGAAACTACGGTTGTTGCTGTGGGGGTGTATCGCCCCTGCCCTTCTGGTGGTCAGGGTATCCGTGAGGTATGGGAGGAACGGCAATTTTGGCTCGGCTGCTGCAAGTTGATGTTTGCGTCCGTCGCGGGGGGTGGGGGGGGAACGCCGTGGTACTTGGAACGGGTCGCATTCCGTTATGTTCCCTGTAGGTCTGCACGCTTGTACACCGTGGCCATCGCTCGGACGTCCATTCCCTGTGTGTTTTTCGGTGCCGTGCGTGTTTTTTTCGCCAAGTGATCAAGAATGCTCCTCGATGGTCCTCGCCGAGGAAAAAACGCACACGTCCGAGCGATGCCAAGCACCTGGACGGTGGGGACCTTTTGCGCGAAGTTGGGCGCCTCGTCGCCGTTCGGTCCCACTCGTGGTTCCCATCTGTGGTGGGGCGAAGTGGACCACGTCGCTGTCGGCAAGCTCCTGTGCACGTGGCCAAGGCACTGCGACGATTACCGCCTGTCGTTCCGTGTCGCGTGCGTTTCCCTCCTGGTGCGTTTTGGTCCACACTGAACCACCCCCTCCTTCTTCACCTCCTCCTCCTCCTCCTTGTCCTCCTCTCCCTTTTTCTCCATTCGCTCCTTTCAAACAGCTCCTCCTTGTCGCATATCGGAGCCAATCGGAAGGACGGGACCAGTGTTTCGCCTGAAAAGTCCTTATACATGCGAGCCTCAAGCTTCAAAGCTTGCAACGATTTCACATATGGATGGCGGGTCGTTTCCAACATGTGCCTGTCGTATTAGCGCCGCGTACATTCATTTCAAAATATTACAAAGCTTCACGGACTGAAGACGTACCATTTTCGAAATGCTCTCGCCATAGCGGCGCGCACTCGTGTTTACATACGCGCAATAACTTAGCAACTTGAGCGCGGGTCGTTTTCAAAATGTAGGTCCGACAAGCTAAATGTGCAATGAACTACACGGATTGAGAGCGGCTCTTTTTCCAAAGCTGGTCTTCGCCACCGCACCGCGCACATTCTTGGTCAACATGTGCAAACATTGCGCGGATTCAGGACGAGTCGTCTTCAAACTGTGGTTCTAGCGCCACACGAACTACATGGATTGAGGGCGGCTCTTTTTCAAAATCTGGTCTTCGTCACAGCACCGCGCACAGTCTTGGTCAACATGTGCAAACATTGCTCGGATTGAGGACGAGTCGTCTTCAAACTGTGGATCTCGCGCAACCGCCGCGCAAATTCGTCTTGAAACATTGCATGGGGTTTCATGGGTTAACGGCGGATCCTTCTTCAGAATGTACATGTCGCCGTAGCGCCGTGCACAGTCGTTCCGAACAATTGCAAGATCGTTGCCGATTGAGGTTGGTTCCTTGTCAAAATGTGGCCCTCGCCATGGCGCCGCACGCATTCCGCTTTTTGACGAACATGCGACATTTGATTCTCACGCTTAACGTACCATGAGTCTGCGTTTTTGGGACGATTCAGGATCGTCACGACGCAACCATCGGGTGGACTTGTGGCGTCGTAACCACGAACGTGGTGTTTTGCCGCGCTTGTGAATTTCCGCACAGTTCCCCCCGCCCCCACGGGCAGTTCCGTCGGTTGACATGAATCTTTGCATGGGCCCGATGATACAGGGAACCTGGAAGGAGGGCGTAGTCCAACATCTTTGAAGATTCCTGAGTTTACATTGTCCTCCTCCTCCTCTTCCTCCTCCTCCTCCTCCTCTTTGACTTCCCCGAAGCGCACCGCTGCGTCAGGTCCCCCTTTCCCCCCCAATGTTTTGTTCCTTTCCTTCCTCCTTCACCTCGTCTCCTAACGCCTCTACATCGTCCGGCGTCCCCACAGTTTCTTCCTCCTGTTCCTCCTCGCTGATTTCCCCGAAGCGGACCGCTGCGTCAGGACCCCCCGCATCTCCACGCCGCCGCGGCGGCCTGCCGCCCCGTAGCTCTTGCGTTTGCAGGGCGGGCGCCGGGGCGCGGGCAGGGGAGTGAAAAACAGCGTGAACGAGAACGTCGAGGAGAAAGGCTGGAGGAGCGACGAACGAGGAGGAGCGAGGAGCGAGGTGGAGGGAAAAGAGGACGAGGAGGAAGACGAGGAGGATGACGTCGTTGACGCAGGGAGGAGGAGCGACGAACGATCAGGAAAAACGACGGAGGTCCGCAGCGATTTCTCACAGTGGCCCCAGGGCCCACGCTGCCTCGAGGCCGCAAAGGCTGCCCAACCTGTCCTCTGCGTTTTTGTTGATGCATCCCTTCGCAGCCGATCTGCGTACTGTGATGCTCCTCCGCCACGATGGCGGTCGTCCGTTCTCGCGCATTGCAACATTTCAGTTGGATGATCATCTTCTCGCCGGATTCCACAGCTGCGGCTGCGCGAAGAAGCAAGTGTGGTGGAAGTGGTGCAGCACTGCCGCGGTGCCCTGGTACCCGTGCAACATCCTCCTGCTCGTTCTCCTCGGCCTGGTCGGGGCGGATGCTCCCGTGGGCATGGATGTTGTACTGCGCCCCCATGGGCGAGTCGCACGTGGACAGCCGCGTCTCCTGGTTCCTCCGCGGGGATGCTAGCGCACAGCAGCAGCAGAGCACCTGGCAGCAGGGACAGACGGCCTGCGAGTGTGCTTCGACGTTTCTCCCGAGAATTGCGACATCTCGGCCTCCTACGCTGAGGAAGAGCGCTCGGGCAAGCTTGTGGAGCTTTTCGCTCTCTCCGGAGCTCATTACAGAAGCAACCAGTTCCGGCAAGTCCTGGCTTGAAGGCCACCGTCGCGCCACCAAGGTCGACAGCGACGTCTCGGTGAAGCTCGCCAAAGCCAGGATCGACCAAGCGGAGGAAGCAATCCGCAAAAGTCAAGAACATCGCGAAGCGCGACCAGATCGAGCAGCTCTTCGAGGACGCGCAGTCAGAGGGGGAGAAGGACTCGCGGGCCCTCGACCTAGCGGGCGAGGTGCCTGTCAGCAGTGCGCCGCCAGCGCAATTGAACCCGAAGGCCCAGCTTCCTCCGGCGCGCCGCAACTGGACTTGTCGCGCCCCGCGGAGAGGAGGCGAACTGGAGCTCGACGATAGGGGGTCCTGGTTGGGCGCGCGAAGTTTGGGGGCGCGGTCATGGGCGAGAGCCGCGAGAAGGCGGCCCGCAGGAACAAAACAAAATAGCGGACGTCACCGATCAAGCAAGCTGCGGGCGCCCCCCCTCGGCGACCTGCGCACCGGGGCGGCCGCGCTGGCCCGGGGGCAGGAAGGCCGAGCCACGCGCTCGAAAGGCAAGAGATGCGAGCCCAACGAGGCCCCTTCTGGAGCCACCAGGAGCTGGGGCAAGTAACAAGGCAAGGGGTCGGCCATGGGTGATCCGGCAGCGCTGGCTGCGTCGGCAGGACGCGGCGAGGGCAGCGCGAATGCGGGGGCGTCGGCAAAGCCATCCTCGCCGAGCACGTCGGCAGTCGCAGCGGCGCAGGAAGCGCTGGGGGCCGAGAAGTGCTTGATCAGGCACCGCGTCGGACACTGAGCAGCAGAAGCGTCTTCGACGTCAGGACCCGGACGCGCCGCGTTCAATCTAAATCGCGTGCATTCGCGATCGCGCAAGCCACTCCGTCGGGCCCCTGGAACAGATCACGCCCTTGCGTCGAGGGAACTGACGCTCGGGGACGGGAGGGGGCATTGCGCGACCATGGCCCCCGATATCGTCGGCGCCCCCGCGGCAGGCAGCGGAGCGCAGCCTTCAGGGGGGCCCAGCGAAGTCGCGGCCGACTGCCGGCGCCGCCAGGGCAGGGCCGCGCGAGACGGCGCCGCTCCCCCATCTCAATGTTCGGCTTCTCCTTCTCGGCCGCCGCGCTTGCCCGGCCGCCGACTGCCCCCCGCCGCGCCCGGGTCGCGTCGCAGGCCTGGGCCAGCGCTTGGCAGACGCCTCGGGCCCAGGGGCCGCGGCGCAGCACTCGGCGGCCTGGGCTCGGCGGGCGGTCGGGGCGCCCGCTGGCAGCCTGCGCCGAGAAACATGGAGGCCGTCGGCGCGGTCAAGATCGGCCGCGGCATCCGTCGCCTACATCGACTTCGGCATCTCCACTCCGGTCGCTGCGCTCGCCCGACCCCCGACTGCCCCTGATGTCGCCGGCCAAAGCCAGTGCGCGGCGCTGGCCGAGGGCCATGGGGCCGCAACGACACGCGCGGCGGCCTGGGCTCGGCGGGCGGTCGGGAAGCGGTCGTCGCCAGCATGGCCAGATAGCGCGGCCGCGTGGCCCGCCCGGCCGCCGAGGAGGTCAGGAGCCACCCACTTCCGTGTTCGCCTCGCCGATTGCGCTGCTGAAACATAGACGGCTGCGGAGGTTGGGCCGTTGCGAACAGCGACTTCCTTCGCCGCGGGGCTGGTCCAAGACAGTTGCGATGCCCTGCGCGGCGCCGACAGAATGCGCCCCGAACGGCGCGCCAACAAGTTTAATCCCGCGCACGATGCCCTCGAGGCCCCATCTCCCGTTTGTCCGGCGCCGTCTCGGCCCCCTACTTTCGATTGCCCAATGCCCCCGAGGTCCCATCCAAGGGCCCCGCGGTCTCCATCGCTGCGAACCGAAGCCGCTGCGACGCGGCGCCATCGCTGCGCACCGCAGCGCTGAACCTGCGCGGCGCGCTGGCACCCCAACGTTCGGATGCCCGGACACGCGCCCGGAATGGGCGCCCTGCGCGCTCTAAACGGAACCCGCGCGGCGCCGGGAATGGATGCCTGAATTGTCTGGCCGCGCGCCCGCGCACGCGCTCCGCCCGGGAAACCTGCCGCGCCGAGGGAAGTGCTCGGCGCCACAGAATGCGCCCCGCATGGAGGCGGGCAGGCGGCGCGCAACATCCACGTCTCCGAACCAACTTCGGGCGCGACGCAACGCCAGAAACGGGCGCGGCGCCGGCATCTCTGGGCCCGGCGGGCCCGCGTCTGCCCGCGCAGACCTCGCGAGATGGACCGGCGGCGGCCGCGTTGGGAAGGGCGCCGGCGAGCCCGATCGGCTATGGGCGCAAGGCCCCGAACCCAACGCGAATCTCCAAACCTGCGACTCAGGCCCCTCGGACCAACGGCGCAAGTCCGCAGGCGCAGCGTCGAGGGCCCCCATGGGGGGCGGCGTCAGCGCCGGTGGCGGCGATGCAGTTTAGCGCCGCTGCTTTCCGATATCACAGCTGCGCGCGGCGTCTGAAGCACGACGGCGCGCGCCGCGCAATGGGCAATCGCTTCGCGCGCGCTCTCGGCGCGCGTCGTGCCAAAAGGATGAGTCGGGCGCGCCCGCTCGGAGTACTGGGCCCGCCCTACTAAGACATCCATATCGGCCTCTTCGGCTCCCTCGGTTGCTGCGCTCGCCCAGCCCGCGACTTCCCCCCCCGCGCCGGGGTCGCGTCGCAGGCCCGCAGCGCTCGGCGGCCTGGGATCGGCGCGCGGTCGGGCAGAGCGCGCCATGTTCGACAGGGCCAATTTCTTCCCCGAGATGCAAGATGGCGCGCGCGACAGGCGGGCCATGCCGTGACGGCAGGACCACGGCTTCTCATTCCGAACTTCGTGGGCATCATCGGAGGGCAGTCGGCCGCCCTCCTGCGCCTGGGTTCGGCTACTTCGAGTGCTGGGCCATGCGCGACGGTGACCTGCCAAACGTTCACGCGGCGCTCGGCACCGCGGCCGCGGCCGCGCCCGGCCCGCGCTCGGCACTGCAATCGGGCCAATGGCTACGCAGATGTGGAGTGGCATGTTCTTTCTGGCAGTGCGACGATAATTGGTCTTCCTCCGTGGAAGTCCGCGAATGACAGCTGGCCCCCGTGAGCCGCAAGGCGCAGTTCTGGGGGCCCGAGACATTCGACTTGAGGCCCGGGGTTCTCCCCGCGGGGAAACAATGGGGCCTCAGCTGCGGAGAGTCGCACGGTGGGCCGCGACCTCGCAGCGAGCGCTGGCAGGGCGGCGGCGGCGGCCCCCCACGTCCGCAGTCGCAGCCCCGCCTTCGCAAATATGGGGTAGAGGCTCCGCGTCTGGAAGGGTTCCGGCCCTCCAGATGGATGCCATCGCGCCGGCGGGGCTCATCTGGCCACATTCTATGAGCGCGCGGGGCTGAAGTGCACGGGTGGCAACCTCCAGGTGCCGGACTGGGAGTTCCCCCTGGGGGCGCCGGCGCCCCCGGGTCATTGGGGGCGACTTCAACATGGCGCCCGGCAACTCCTGGGAGCTAGAATGGAATCACCGACGTGCGCGACCTTCACGGGGGGGCCTGGGCAACCTCGCAGCCTGGATGAGCTCGCGCTGTCGCGCGGCCAAAACGCGCCCGTCGCCGGCCTGTCCGCGCCGAGCGCGGTGCCGCGCAGCCCGCGCGCGCCAGTTCCGATCACCCTCCGCGGCCTCTCGCAACCTGCCCCTGCGCGCGTTCGAATGGCCTGGGGGCCTTTCCCCGCCGAGCCTCTTTGCGGGCCGGTTCGGGGGCGCATCGGGCACGCTTGGAATTGGGGGGCGGGGGGCGGCGCGGGGCAGCTGGCGCTGGGCTCCGTCTGGGGCGAATGGCCGGGCCGCGCGGGGGGGGGACTGCGCTGTGGGTTCGATTTGAATAGGCCCCGGCGGTGGCGGCGCTATAGGGCCCCCCGCCGTCAGTCAGTCTAGCCCCAGACTTTGCTTGCCAGGCGCTGGGAAGAGGCCGGGGCCCAGTGGGCCCTCTCATCCGCGTTCCACGCGCAAGATCCAACGGCCTCGAAGGCCCCCGAGGCCCGGATGTTTTGGGAGACGCAGCATGGCCCCGTCAATGGGATTTTGAACCTGAGCTTCAAGACCCTGCGGCCCGAATCGGGGTCTGTAGGAGACGCGCCGCGGCTCTTCGCGCGGCCGCGATCGGCGGTGGCCCGCTCGACCAAGACACCCTTGATATCGACGAAGTGACCGCGCGCGCTGCTCGCGAGGAAGCGCGCCTTCGACTTCGGAAGCGGGGGGCCCGAGCTCGAGACGAAGGCGAATTGGGGCAGGGGGCCGCGCCGTCGAGCGTTCGATGGGCGAGCGGGCGCGGCGTTGGCGCGGCGGCGCCGCGCCCGCCCCCCGCGGCCTCGAGCGGGCCGCGCCGAGGTGGACGCGCCGCGCGCCCGCCCTGGACCAGGTCAGATCTGCGCTGGAGCGGGTTCGCCCCGACGTTGGTCTTGGTCTTGGAGCGGGTGGGGATGGGCCCCCGCTGCTGGATGTTGCTCGACGGCATCTCCCCCGACAGCCTCGTCGCCATCTTTCAGGCAACGGGGAATCGGCCCAGGCCCCTGAGACGCGGCCCGCGATAATTGCGTTCGCAAGCACAGCTGACGGAGACGGCCTTCGACCAATTTCTTTGACCTGCAGCTCGATGAAAATTGGGCCAGGGTTCGACGGGAATTGGCTAGGACTGGGGGGGGGACATGCCCGCGCCGCGCTAGATGGGGGTCGCGTGGAGGACTTCGGAGAGAGCGTGGCGGGGGCGCAACGCCTACGCATGCTTGGCGGACACCTCCTCCTTCCTGGGCGGCCAGAAATTCACGGCCATTCGAATAATTCTGAGAAGGTCTCCCACGAACGTTATCTCGGGAGCCTTCGCCGCTGAAGGTCTGGCGCGCCTCGATTTTATGGCGGCGTTCCGGTTCCGCGGCGGGCCGCAAGCGCCGCGCTTCCAAACGGTGCCAGTAGCGTCTGTCGGGCCCGCGGGACACTCCGACAGGGGCATTCGTCGGCCGCCACCTTCGCCAAATTCATGCTCTACCAGCTGCTGCCGGGCGCCTGGGTCGCCCGCCCCGCGGCGCGCCCGCGGCGCGTCGCGCGTCGCAGGCGACGCCCGCGCGCCGTGAATTGTGGCTCGGGGAACTACGTCTGTCAGGAGCTCGACCGAGAATCTAGATATGGATGCCACGCGCGCCCGCGCCCGCCGCGCGGGGCGTCGGGCCGCTCGCCCGCGCGGAGGGCTCATGCGGAGGTTGCGACCCCGTCGCCTTCGGGGCCCCGCGCAGATGCACGGGGCTCAGCGATCGGGGCCTCCAGCTCGCGCGTCTGGGGGCCCGCCGTCTCGGGCGCCCAGGCTCGCGGCCTCCGCTGTCCGCGCGCGGCCGCCGCGGGGTCGTCGCGCCCCGTGAAGGGCGCCGCCCCGAGAGGCCACCGCGCGCGCTCCTCCAGGGCTGACCAGAAGATATATCCCCCAGCGATGTATCACATGGGCGCGGTCGCGCGCCGGACCTGGGCCGGTCGGGAAAAAGGGGGGGTCGTCGCTCGAAGTTGCGCAGTGGGTCATAGAGTCGGCCTTCGGCGAGCTCGTCCGCAGGAAGTCTTTTTTTTCGCGGGGGGGCTGCTCGGCCCCCCGCGCGCGATTTCGCCCTTGCTGTCAGGGGCCTCGGATGGCGGGCCGACGATGTCAAGCTCTGCTCCTGTCGTTTTGGCCCTGGCCCCATTGCAAATAATTTGGTCGGCGCAGCGCGCCCCCCGGTCTCGCTCTGGCGGCGCGGCTTTCCAGGCCGACACAGGTTCCCAGGTATGGTCTCGGCCTGTCGGGTGGGCGCCTCTGCGCGGTCGCTTGGAGGGCCACGCGGCGGCCTTGTCAGATCGCTTAGCACTTGGGGTGCCCGCAAGCAGGAGGCCCTAGGCAGCTGCATTTCGCCGTGCCACTAGCTCCAGGAGCGTCTGCGCAGGCGCGGGCGCCCCCCCCCCCCCCCCCCTTCTGCAAGCATTGCCAGGCTCGCCCGGTTACTCGTTTCACATGAGGGTTCTTCGCGACGCCTCCCGGGCCATCCCGGGGCGCGCTGCGGCCAGCTCAGGATCACATGCGTGGCTGGTTGGGGAGCTTGGACTCATGTCCTCCGCAAGGCTGCCGCGGGCGTCTCCCCCCTCGCCCCCGAGCTGCCCCCCCCCCCCCCCGGTCTGCGGTCAGGCTGGCAAGTCTGGGGCCAGCCGCCCTGAATAAGGTTGGCTCTCGGATTACATTTTCTCTGACGGGTCGGCCCTCCAATCTGCGAGCCCCCTTCTGGGGCGAGCAAAGCGGGGGATGGCCATGGTCGAGTCGACAATGATGGGCGTTTCCTTGCGGGTTGCTATGGGGCAGCTCCGTGCGACATGGCCCCCCTGGAAAATGGCCCGCGATGGCGAGGGCCCCGCCGTGTTCATGACTGCCCAGATGCGTGTCCCCGACGATTGCGGCAGCAAGGTCTCGCCAATTTGCTGTCAATGGAGCGCGCAACATAACGGAAGGCGTAGGCCCGTTTGTCTAACGCTCATGATGGCGAGCCCCCGCCAATCGTGAAGGTCAGGCCTCTTTCGTCGTGGGTTGGCGTGGATCGCAGGCTGTTTACCACACTCCAGAATCGCGGCTGGAACGAGCCGGTCGGTTGGTCGAGCTCAGTGCGCGCTGCCACCCCTCAACTACGGATGCTGCCCTGCAGCTCCGTGTCTGGGAGTCCGTATCAGCCAGGCATCTAGATGGGCGGGGGAGCACGAGGCCTGGAGGGCTGGCCGTGAAACCAGGGACTGTGATAATCTTGCGGGGCCCGAAAGGGTTGGCTTTGGTTGAGACGGATTCCAGCAGCTGACCTTACCGAGCATTCGAATGGGGACCCGTCCGTTTGCGTTGTATGCTGGGTTGCAAGATGACAGGACTGCCCTCGCACACCTGCTTGGACATGCGTTGCGCAAGGCCGCCGTAGTCTGGCCAGATGGTGTGGGGGCCAGCCACGAGGGGGCACAATGTTCGTTTGCACCACAAGCGGGGACTACAACTGGGAGTCGGTTGAATTTCTGTGCCGCCCCTGTGCCCCTCTCTTTATTGCCATGAAGAAAACGTCGTCGCGTCGAGAAGGGGGTGTTCCCTTCCTGGGCACCTGAATACAGAGTGTGGGCCCTTGTTCCACTGAGGCCTGTCTCCCCATCAGATTTGGTCGTGTTGGCCACCACTAGGTCAGTCATCCCTCTGACCATCGGCGGTGGATTGGGGCGGGACATGGTCGTCGTCGCCGCGGGGGGGAGGCATGGAGCGAGGCGGCGTGTCGCCAGATTCGGCCTCTCACCTCAGCAGCTGTCCGCAGAGGCCGAGCGCTTCCGAAGGGAGGATGAGGCGAAGCGGGCGCCTTCCCTCCCCCTCTGCCCTCCCGCGGGTGGCGTAAGTGGCTGGCGCCCCGCGGAGCGCCACCCCGCAGGAGGTTTTGTCAGTTGGGCTGAGGTGGATCACCGACCTCCGCCATGGAAAATATCACTTGAGGAGGAGCGACGGTGAGCAGCGAGGCGGAGGAGGAAGAGGAGGATGAGGAGGAGTGAGCGAGGAGGAAGAATAATAATAACAAAGGGGATGCGGAGTAAGAACCAAGAAAAGTGAGGGGAGCAGGGGAAGGAGGAGGAATCATGATAATAATCGGAAGAAGCAATACTACGAATGAGACTGTGCAGAGAAGGAAAAAAGAAACAATCAAACGAGGGGGATGACGTCTACGACGACCACGACCACGACGACGACGACAACCCGGCGCTGCCGCTATGCACTGCGAGCCCACTGCCTGGCGTGTGCGTGAACGCGCGCACGGGGTCCCACGGAGGCCTCGACACGGTGGGCCGGACCCGGGATGCGGCCAAGGCGGAGGAGGAGGAGGAGGAGGAGGAAGAGGAGGAGGAAGAGGAGGAGGAGGAGGAGGGGGAGGAGGAGGAGGAGGAGGATGCAGCTAAGGCGGAGGAGGAGGAGGAGGAGGAGGAGGAGGGGAGGGGGAGGGGAGGAGGGGAGGAGGAGGAGGAGGAGGAGGAGGAGGAGGAGAGGAGGAGGAGCGAGGAAGAAATCAATCAATTTAGACGAGTTCCGAGCCAGGCACCTCGTGGACACTGATCCAGTCGGCACTTCGAGACCTTCTGTGCCTCTACGCCTGCTCCCGCCCTGGACAGCCCTGCTCCACGAACGCACCGTTGCGGATGCACGCGTGAGAGCAGCAAGGATCAACCCATCCCGCCGCTCTTGAGGCCCGACTTGGTCTCGTAGATTGCCATCTGCAGCATCGCCGGGACGACTATCTTGGTTCCGCAGCGGGTGCAGTAGAATCGCCTCCCATCCATAGCACACGCTCCCCTTCCAGACCAGACCCTCCCCTGCCCTCGTTTCCTGATTCAACTGCTTTCCCTTGCCTGGCCTCTCTGCACTTCTTCACCGTAGGTAGCGCACGCGCTTCGGGCCAGCTCGTGCGGCATTGCAGGCTCGCTGCGGATCTCCCCGCCCGAGTAGCACCAGGAGGGCACCACTGCAATTCTGATGAGAACGAGCAGCCTGGGGCTGACTGCTGACTACGTACCTACCAAGCCACCCAAACCCAACCCGACCCGAAAACCCAAAGTTCGTGTTGGGGGGGGGTACGGGCTTCATATGTGTTTTTAATATGTTCCCGAACCCCCTCCACTGGAGATGGAGGGAAAATCGGGGCCTTCGGGTTGGGTTGGGGTGGTCTGGTGGTGGGCGTGAACTGCTGGCGAGCCGCCACGCGAGCGGGCCCCGTCGTGGAGGCGCGCCCGCCGGCAGCCTGGTGAGCCACGGGCTGCGCGGTGGGTTTCTGGGGTGCCGCCGAGCGTCCACGGCGCCGCTGCCCCGGCCAGTCGAGACTGGTCTGGGGCTCCGCGGGCGCCTCGAGTGCACGAGGAGCGCTCCGGTGAACCCGCATCACAAGGACGAGCGATGAGGACGCAGGGGCCCTGGGTGGCCACGTCGACGCTCCGCGAGAGGGGCGCGGCCAAGCGAGAGCGGCCCAGGGCGGACCGATGGGGGCAAGCATGCAGTGGGGCACCCTTGGGAAGGCTGCCCGTCCTTCCTGTGCGGGCCGTCTGCGGAAGAGCAGCCGTGCAGGGACCAAAGATGATCAGCGAGCCCCCTTCCGAACCCGAACTCCTCTTCATGTCGGCGTCCCGGCTGCACATTCAACACCCGCGCAGAGTCCACACGAGAACACACAAGCCTGCAGAAGCATGTAAACGTTCTGAGGTCCGTTCAACACTTCGAAAGTTCATGGTTACGCATGTTTGGGTTCCCTATGCGCGCTCCACGGTTTCGGAAAATGTGCTTACGCAATTGCTTCCTTCAAGGACCCAACCACAACAATGTTTAATACGAAATAACGCTCATACCGAACAACGAAACGAAGCCCGACGATTAAAACAGATGTTGCAAACGAAGCCGGTGCCAACCGAAACGAACGACGCAGCGGAACGCCTCAGGCAGCGGCGAACAACGGCACGAAACAACAACGAGCCACGAAACGAAAAGAGAAACAAACATGGGCCCACATCGAGCTGCACGACGTCATGGTCGGCTCTTGGTTTTCCTCCTCGCGCCCCGCAGCCCAGGCCGGGGCCCCGGCCCCTCCCGAGCTCGAATTTCTTCAGCACGCAGCCCAGCGAAGCATCTGCTGGGCGGGGAAACGTCGGCCTCGAACCGGGGATGCACCGCCGGTCGGCGACTGCCCCCCGACAGCGACGGGCCACACCCAGCAATCAACAGGCGATTGGGGGTCGATGCCTTCCTCCCTGAGTCCACCCCCAACGAGCGTTGCCCTTGGGCGTTCCGAGAGCGCGGGGCGTGACGCGCAGCCTGGCGAAGCCCCTGACCATCCCGGACCCGAGTTATTCCTCGTGCTCGCGCCTCGACGCCTCGAGGGCGCGGAGCGTCCCGCAGCCTGGCACTGAGCTTCGTACAACCGATCCCGATCCCCACCACCCCAACTGGTGTGGCCCTGTCCCCACTGGCCGACTTACCCCCTAGATGGGGAACACACACACACACATATGTAGACAATCGAAAACCCCACCAGCCCTCTGAGCGCAGGTGGTCTAACGAGATTCCTTTTCCCTCTTCCAGAAAAACACCCTCTTCCCCTAAGGGGAGGGGTTTATTAGCATTCCCTATTAATATACACCCCCTCCCCCGGGCGACTGGGAGCCAACCCGAGTCAATGAGGGCACCCCCCAACCATCCCTTGTAACAAACCATACAAAACACACTCTGCCTCCAAATTCGGAACATGCGCGGCGAACCCGATGCGGCCTCCTCCCGCCATCCATGTCGAAAACAATACAAAGTACACTTGGCGGCAGCGGCGGCTGCGGCGGGGGCAGCGGCTGCGGCGGCTGCGGCGGTGGCGGCGGCGGTGGCGGCGGCGGCGGCGGGGGCGGCGGCGGCGGCAGCGGTGGCGGCGATTCGGCAGCGGGGGCGTCGGCTGCGGCGGCAGCGGCTGCGGCGGCGGCGATTCGGCAGCGGCGGCGGCGGCGGCGGCGGACGGCGGCGGGCGGCGGCGGGAGGCGGCGGCGGCGGTCAGCGGCGGCGGCGGCGGCTTGGCCCCCAGGAGCTGCCCATCCAAAGACGACTGCTGCATATGCTGCGGTCCGGGCCAGGCTCGGGTGCTACGTATGTGTTGGGAGGGCGGGTGGGAGAGAGCGAGACGGCTTGCGGGCGGGGAGGGAGTCTTGACCCCTCCCCCTGCCCCCTCTCCTGGATTTTTTTTGGGGGATCCGCGAGGTGTCAGGGCGGCCAAAACGGCCTCGGCGAGGAAACCACAATCATTGGTTACTATGGTTTTGGCCCCATTTTGGCTTCTTTTGAGGGGGGTGCTGAACGTTACGCCATCTCCTCCTTTGGTCGATAACCTTCAAGATGGCCCCAAGAGGCCTTCCAGGGCTCACAGGAGGGCCCCAAGAAAACCACAAGAGGGCCCCAAGACCCCGAAAGAGCCCCGAGCGAATTCTAATATTCTCCCAAAGAGCCACAGGAGAGCTCCAAGAGGCAATTTTGAGGGTTCCTGGGAGGGGGCCGAACTCGAGGACCCCCCTTTTTATCGAGGATCCCTCCACCTCCTCCTCCTCCTCCTCTTCCTCCTCCTCTTCCCCTCGCCCCCACGCGCCCCCCAGGGATGGCCCGAAGAGGCCTTCCAAGGCCCCCCCTCGCTCCCAGAGATCTCTCGGTTCATCCTGGTTGCCCGCTTTGTTTCCATAAATGTATCCCCTTGTCCCTTTTCCCGTCAGCTCTCGTGGGCAGAATGGGCTGGTGGGGCTATTTTTTGGGGTCGCGGCCACCAACGAGCGCGCAAGCGGCGAGAGAAATTGTCCGGGCCGACGGGCAAACCGAACCTGGTGGGGATACTTTTTGATATGCGGCTCCAAGGACGATTCCAGAGAGCGGGTCGTAGCAAGCTTGGGGCGACAAGCGGGATAATTGCCCGCTGGTGGGGGTACTTCTTCCCAACCCTCCTGCTTCTGGTTGTCGGTTTGAATAGAGCACTGCTCGCGCGAACCTTCCTTCCTTCCTTCCCTCCTTCCCCACTTTCGAGGGCTGCTGGGGCCTGCGATATGTGAAACTGTCGCCACTTTCGAGGGCTGCTGAGGGGCACAGCGCAGTGGGCACCAACCGCAGACTCAAATTCGACCTCGCCATCCCTGGAGGGCTGCGATATGTGAAACTGTCGCCACTTTCGAAGGCTGCTGAGGGGCACAGCACAGTGGGTACCCACCTCAAACTCAAAGTAGACCTCGCCATCCCTGGGGGGCTGCGATCTGTGAAACTGTCGCCACTTTCGAAAGCTGCTGAGGGGCACGGCACAGTGGGTACCCACCGCAGACTCAAACTAGACCTCGCCATCCCTGGGGGGCTGCGATCTGTGAAACTGTCGCCACTTTCGAAGGCTGCTGCAGGGGCACGGCACAGTGGGTACCCACCGCAGACTAAATTACACCTCGCCATCCCTGGGGGGCTGCGATATGTGAAACTGTCGCCACGTTCGAGGGCTGCTGAGGGGCACAGCACAGTGGGTACCCACCGCAGACTAAAATTACACCTCGCCATCCCTGGGGGGTTGCGATCTGTGAAGCTGTCGCCACTTTCGAGGGCTGCTGAGGGGCACGGCGCAGCGGGTACCCACCGCAGACTCAAATTACACCTCGCCATCCCTGGGGGGCTGCGATCTGTGAAGCTGTCGCCACTTTCGAGGGCTGCTGAGGGGCACGGCGCAGCGGGTACCCACCGCAGACTCAAACTAGACCTCGCCATCCCAGGGGGGCTGCGATCTGTGAAGCTGTCGCCACTTTCGAGGGCTGCTGTGGGGCACAGCACAGCGGGTACCCACCGCAGATTCAAACTACACCTCGCCATCCCTGGGGGGCTGCGATCAGTGAAACTGTCGCCACTTTCAGGGGCTGCTGAGGGGCACAACACAGTGGGTACCCACCGCAGACTCAAATTACACCTCGCCATCCCTGGGGGGCTGCGATCTGTGAAACTGTCGCCACTTTCGAGGGCTGCTGAGGGGCACAGCGCAGTGGGCACCCACCGCAGACTAAAATTACACCTCGCCATCCCTGGCGGCTGCGATCTGTGAAACTGTCGCCACTTTCGAGGGCTGCTGAGGGTTCGGTTTCCCGCGCGTTTTTCTCCTGCTCTGCGTTCCCGACTCCCCATGTCCTCTTCGAGCCTGTAGCTGTCGCCCCTCGTTCTTGTATGTTTCTCCTGCGCATTATGCCATAGGCGCGTGTCCCAAGTAGCTTACACATCAGGTCGATTGTCCATGCAAGTTTCGGCCAACTCCTCGTTTCCATTGATACAAATGGGTTGGGTACGTCACAGGGTAATTTTGATCTGCGGCTCCAAGGACGATTCCAGAGAGCGGGTCGTGCTGGTGGGTATATATATATATATATATATATATATATATATATATGTATATATGTGTGCGGAAGCGCCAGCGGCGGCGAATAACGGTCGGGCTGCGGCCGAAACTAATTGGCCGGACGCGCGCGCGGGCCGCGGCCGGCGCCGGGGCGGCGGGTGCGAGGGTGCTGCAACCCAGGGCGTCTGACGCCCAGGGACCTGTACCCAGGGAGTCTGTAACTACGCTGCCAAAGTGGCGCGACGCAACTAACCCCAAGGTGTCTGAGGCCATGGCCAAGCAGTACGCCGCTTGGGTACACTATCTGAACAGTAGGGAGTCTGCAAACCTCGGCGCAGCGAATGTCGTACCATAGGGTCCCAGGGTGTCTGAACCATGCTCAAGCAGAAGCGTCCGAGAGACGCGCAAGTGTCGCCTGACTGCACACCGTAGGGAGAGGTTGGACTCTGACAGCGCCAGCGAACCGTCGCAGCTTCAGAGTACGCACCAACGCAGCCAAAATGGCGCGAAATTCGTGGTGTCTGTAACCGAACAAGGCACGTCAGGCCACTGCTGGTGGGGATACGCGAAGCCTGAAGAATTATAATAAAGATGGGTGGCAAAGACGCGCAAGGGCCTTGGACGCCGAAGTTGACGCTATTTGGGCGGCGGACTGCCAACACTCACCCTGAAGGGCTGGCCAATGAAAACCGCGAAGGACGAGCCACAGAGGCAAAGGCGCACGGGTACCCTAAGGACATCCGTGCGTCCTCACCATGAGTTTTGACTGTACTGCTTCCTTCTGGTTTCGGGGACCTATCCCCACCTAGGCGGCGGGATGGTGGGGCTGGGACACCATGGCCCAGTGGAGATGGGCATAGGTCAGGCGATGCTGCGGCGAGTTCCCCCTGCCCAGGAGAGCACATAATCGAATCGATAAGCCGCATCGGCGATCGATATGACTTGGATCAGCAGAAATCGGCAGCCGAGTCGGGAGCAGTCGAGCTGGCGGAAATCGGTAGGTTGGTGGGCCTCCGTCGAGACATCGGAGCCCACGTCGGAATCCAGAGTCAAATCGAGGTGGACTCGAAGGCCACCGAAATAGCATCGGTGGCATCGAGGCCGCCCCTCCTGTCGCACACCCAGGGAGGTCCAGACCGCCTCCCCGGGGGTGGTTCTCCGTCCTGGCTCCATCTCTGCTGAAGGGGAACTGGGACACATTCACACACACACACAAATACATGCACACAAATAACCAGATTCCCCATATTTACACACATGTTCTGGGTGTTTGTCTTCCCCCCCACTTCCCATATTTTCCTATCTTTCCTGAGGAATCCACGATTCATTGTGCCTGTGTGTTTTTTCCCCTCCTGATGTACTGCTCTGGGACAAGGGGGAGGGGGGAGCCCAAAGGAGGCTCGCGGCCAGCACAGGGAGAGGGCGCCGCTTCGAGCCTGGGCCGGGCGTCGGCACGACTGGGTCTCGTGGGACCTGGCTCAGCGAGGTATGCCGGGGGACGCCCCCCCCGCCCGCTCCACGAACCGAACTGCCGTCACCCGAGAAAGCACCTGCTGCGGCAGACCTGTCTTCGCGAGTCTGGCAACCTCCCCCTCCCCCTCCCCCTCCTCCTCCTCCTCCTCCTCCTCCTCCTCCTCCTCCTCCTCCTCCTCCTCCTCCTCCTCCGCCTCCTCCAGGGCCCTACCACTCGCCAGGTCACTTCACCCTTGGACCGGTCGCCCCTCCCCTGGGGTCTCCCCCGGCCAGCACCATCCTCTTGCCCGGCATGCCCTGCTGCCCCGTGCCCGTGCACACCGCTCGGGGGGGGGCGGCCTGCGCCGCGAGGTCTTCCCTGCGCGTGCCGCGGCACGGCCCCCCCCGACCTGGAGTAAGGGCAGAGACCCATGCCGCCCGTGTGGCCTCTCCGTCGTTGCTGCTGGTCTCTCTCTCCTTCTCTCCCCCTCTTCCTCTCTCTCTCTCTCTCTCTCTCTCTCTTTACACCTCCCGCTGCCTCTCTCTCTCTCTCTCTCGCACACACCCGTCACCCAGGGGAGGGGCGACCGGCCGGCCCCCATTGCGTGCAAGACTCATATCCATATCCAGTGCCTCTTGGATAAAAATCGAGCCGCTAGGGGGCAAATGTATCCATATCCAGTGCGCCTCGGGTTTCTTGGGAAGGGAGCCCGAAACTCCACACTGCAGTGGATAGATATAGACAGAAGTATTGCCAGCACCCAGCGCTGCCGCGGCAAAGCTCCCCCCGGGCCCCGCCGGACGCGCCAGGGCATCGGCTCGCACGCGCCGCAGCCAGGGCAGGGCCACGAGGCGGGCGCGGAGGCCTGCGGGGAGCGGTCTCGCCCCCCCGCGGCCCCTGCCCTCTGACGGGCCCGATCTCTTCCACTACCACCAGAAGTGAGAGGGGGAGGGGGTCCTCCTCCTCCTCCTCCTCCTCCTCCTCCTCCTCCTCCTCCTCCTCCTCCTCCTCCTCCCCCTCCTCCTCCTGCTCCCCCTCCCCCTCCTCCTCCTCCTCCTCGTCCTCCTTCCCCCTCCAGCTTCTGGTGGTGGGGGTGGAAGACCGGCCCGTCACCCCCCCGCCCTTCCTCCCTCCGCGCCCGCCCTCCAGGGGCCGACCAGAGCACGGCGGGAATGCCCGGAGCGGATCGCGTCGGGGAAGGAGCCAGGAGGTCCGCAGTCAAGCCGGAGTCATGGGGGAGCGTTCGAGGGAATCTCTTGAGACAGCGTGATCAGACGAGCTTGCGTGCCGCAGCGGGGCCCACTCCACTCCAGCCCCTCCCTTTCTCCCTCGCGCCCCCTCGCCCTTCCTCAGCCCTCCCCTCGCCCTCCCTCCCTCTACGGCCACACTGCCTCGCTCCCTCCCCCCTTTCAAGACGGCCCTCAAGCGCTACGATAGGGCACCAAGAGATCCAGAGAGGCCCCCAAGTCGGCCTCCGAAGGCGTCCGACGAGCCGAGGAGCCTCTTGAAATGGCCCGAAAAGCCCCAAGAGGTCCTCAAGGACCACAGAAATCTTCCGAAAGGGTAAAAGAACATCGCCCCCGTGGGTATACAGATTTGAGGTTTTCACCAGTTTGGGTTTCCGACCGCCGAAACTGGCCTGAAGAGCCCTTCCTAGCCTCCATCCCACCCGCAATCCCAAACATGCTCGCGTCGTGGAAAATCCACGACGGCAAGTATTTGCAGTTGCGGGCCCCTGAAATTCCTTTACCATGCCCTCCTCAGGCTGTAAAAAACTGCTCGGGATGAAAAGACGGGCCTGGAAAAAGGGTCGAGACTTCCGGAAATACCGTTCTGAACAATTAAAACATCGGACGCCTAGGATGTCCTTCATCCACTCATTCCCCGTCATTCCACCCCTCCCTCCCTTGCGTTCTCGCCCAACCGCCCACCGCCCCTATCCCTTCCCTCATTCCCTCTCTCTCTCTCTATTTTCCCTTCCGTCCCTCCTCCCTCCCCCCCGTTCCTCTCTTGCCTATGCTTTTTCCTCCCCCGTCCCGCTCTTTCTCAACAGTTACTCCATATGAATACTACTCGCCTCTCTCCCCTGATGACGTCCAGCAGATATCCGGCACCCCTCCGCGTATTGTTCTTCATACACAAGATTCCCGGCAAACAGGTTTGCGCTGGGTTTTTCCCCCCAAAATGCTGCTCCCGCTGAAGCGTTGGCCTCATTTTCGGGAGTTCGCGCGTTCCGAATCGCGCTCCCGATGCTGGGTTGGCGTCGTTATTTCCAGCACCATGCCACGGCCTGGTTTGCGGTCCTTCCAAATCGGCTCCAACATGTAGGAAAAAGTCCCCCAAGAAAAACATCGGAAGTGATTTCGCATCCGGTGTCGATTCGTTGGTTACTGGGGCCGCAGAATCCCCCCACTTTGGGGCGTCGCCACGCCATGCCTTGTCATGGTACGCGTTGATATTTAACACCATGTGGTACCATGAACTTCTATGACATGCTACGACATACGAGTGTGCGAATAGAAAAATCAGAGCCGTGGTAACGGATGGGAAGGGGGGTAGGACGTCAGATATGACGCGAAAGCACCTAGCTTGTTCCTCTTCCCCTCCCCCTACCCTTCACTCGCCTTCTCCCTCTTGCCTCCCCTTCCTCATCGTCCTTTTCTCCCTCCTTCTACCTCCATCCACGTATCCCGTCGGCTCATCTCACTCGAGAAAACCGGGCTCGCCTTGCAATCCGAAGTGAAAACCCATGGGGAATCACTGACATGTGACGCGCGACCAATATCATCGCGCTTGGACTCTTGATTCGCGGAACTGGTCATGTTTTCTGCGTTCCCTCCTCCTGCCCCTGTCCTCCTCCTCCTCCTCATCATCCTCCTCCTCCTCCTCCTCGTCCTCCTCCGGCGGAGGGGGGGGCGCAATCCGCGCGTTCGCTGGTCACGTGCTGGCGCAAACCCTAATGCCAGGCACCAACCTCCAAGCGCCCCCGCTGGCTAACGCCGGGCAACGAGCGCTCGGCAAACAACCAGCGGCCGCACCCAGGGGCAGGAGGGCTTGCGCCAGCCAGGGCCGTTAGTCTCGGCGCACCAGGGAGCTCGGCGGGGACATGCCAAACCCAGCAACCAAGCCCGCCGCGAACCCCCCCGCGGCCTGCGCGCCAGCCCGCCCACCAATGTGCGCCGCCAGGCCCGCCAGCCTCCCGCCTCCCAGCGCGCCGGGCAGCGTCGCCGTCAGCCTCCACTGGGCCGCCTCCGCAGGGCCGCCGCGGCACCCCCAGCGCCGCCCCCCGCAGCGGCAGCAGCGGCAGCAGCGCTGCGCACGTCGGCGCCCCCACCAAATCCAACGCCTGGGCCCCGCCCCAGCCCGCGCGGGCCAGTAGTTCAACGCCGTGCCCACCCCAGCAGGACGGGAGCCCTCGGCGTCCTGCACAGGGGGCCCGCCTGAGTCTGTGGCGCGTGACAGCCAGCACGGCGTCCGCGGCGTGGCGCTGGAGAGCGGTGCTCAGCGCCTGTTGCAGCCGACGGATGGCCGCCGACTGCTCGGTGTCCAAACGCGGGGCCAGCAGGCGCACCAATGCCAGGGCATCCTCGCCGAACCGGCCGTGGTCTTCGACTGCGAGCGGCACCGTTCGCCTTGCAGGGTAGCGCGTCCGGTTGTCATTCTCCGCCGCCGCGACTGCGACTCCGTCGCGCCGGGCTGACGCGCGATCGAGCGCGTCCTGGGACAGAGCGCTGACGACGGTCGGATCCATGCGCGCTTCGGGCCGGCTGGCTGCCGCGTGCAACGCCATCTCCTTGAGCCCACCCCGTCGAGCCCGAGCCTGCGCAGGCAGTGCGGGAGGAAGAGGTGCAACGACGCCGCCTGAGCCGCCGCCGCCGTGAGATCGTCGCGTTGCAGCCCCATCCCGCTGGCCGCTCCAGCGAGGCAAAGCTTCTTCCCGCTCAGGCCCTCCGGCTGCTGGTCGCAGGCGTGCCGCACCTCCACCCACACGTGCGCGCGAGGAAAGTGCGCGCACGCCTCCTCCTCCTCCTCCTCCTCCTGCTCCTCCTGCTCCTCCTGATCCTCCTCATCCTCCCCCGTCATCCTCATGTTCCTCCCCCTCATCTTGCTTCTGCTCCATCGTCCTCAGCAGAAGTATTATCATCATCACTTCATCAGTAACTGGATCATCATCACCATCATCCATAATCCATCATCATAAGACTCCTCCTCCTCCTCGCCCACCTTCTTCTCCTCCTCCTCCTCATCATCATCATCATGATCATCAGCTTCATCATCACCACCACCGCCACCAGTACCATCATCATCAGCAATTTCATCATCATCATCATCATCATCATCCTACTCATAGTCATCATCATAAGCAGCATCATCAATACCATAATCAGCGTCATCATCATCAGCATCATCATCAGCAGCAGCATCATCATCAGCACGCTCATCATGATCATCATCATCAACGTCAGCAACATGATAATCAGCATCAGCATCATCATACCAACCACAATCACCATCATCATCAGCATCCCCATCAGAATCATCATCATCATCATCAGCATTATCACCCTCCTCATCTCCACATCCTAATCCCAGTGCTGCTACTCCAACTCCTCATTTCTCCTCCTCGTCCTCATCAGCCTCAGAGGAAGCAGCGTCAGTGGCAGCAGCGTCACCCTGGTCATCATCATGATCAGGATCATGATCACCAGCATCAGCATCAGCAGGATCATTGAAATACAAATCATCATAAGCATCATCACTAGCATCACCACCAGCAGCAACAGCATTATCAACACCATCATAATCAGCAGCAGTAGCATCATCACCACCAT